GGTGTTTTAGGGGTGTTTTGTGTTGTTTCTGGTTAAAGTCCTCCTCTTGAGATGGGTCAAGTGGTCAAATAAACTGTATACTGATCAGATACATCATAGCATATTAGATTTAGATTACAGGGTGTTTTAGGGGTGTTTTGTGTTGTTTCTGGTTAAAGTTCTCCTCTTGAGATGGGTCAAGTGGTCAAATAGACTGTATACTGACCAGATACATCATAGCATGGGTAGTTTTAGATTACAGGGTGTCTTCAGGGTGTTTTGTATTGTTTCTGGTTAAAGTTCTCCTCTTGAGATGGGTCAAGTGGTCAAATAGACTGTATACAGACCAGATACATCATAGCATGGGTAGTTTTAGATTACAGGGTGTTTTCAGGGTGTTTTGTGTTGTTTCTGGTTAAGATCCACTTCTTGAGATGGGTCAAGTGGTCAAATAGACTGTATACTGACCAGATACATCATAGCATGGGTAGATTTAGATTACAGGGTGTCTTCAGGGTGTTTTGTGTTGTTTCTGGTTAAGATCCACCTCTTGAGATGGGTCAAGTGGTCAAATAGACTGTATACTGACCAGATACATCATAGCATGGGTAGATTTAGATTACAGGGTGTCTTCAGGGTGTTTTGTGTTGTTTCTGGTTAAGATCTACCTCTTGAGATGGGTCAAGTGGTCAAATAGACTGTATACTGACCAGATACATCACAGCATGGGTAGATTTAGATTACAGGGTGTCTTCAGGGTGTTTTGTGTTGTTTCTGGTTAAGATCCACCTCTTGAGATGGGTCAAGTGGTCAAATAGACTGTATACTGCCCAGATCCATAATGACATGGGTAGATTTAGATTACAGGGTGTCTTCAGGGTGTTTTGTGTTGTTTCTGGTTAAGATCCACCTCTTGAGATGGGTCAAGTGGTCAAATGGACTATGTATACTGACCAGATACATCATAGCATGGGTAGATTTAGATTACAGGGTGTCTTCAGGGTGTTTTGTGTTGTTTCTGGTTAAAGTCCACCTCTTGAGATGGGTCAAGTGGTCAAATAGACTGTGTATACTGACCAGATACATCATAGCATGGGTAGATTTAGATTACAGGGTGTCTTCAGGGTGTTTTGTGTTTTGTTTTTGGTTAAAGTCGTCCTCTGGTTGATATGTCTGTGAGTACGAAGAATGCTGCCTCAAAGTCTTCGCAGGTTTGCCTTGTTTGAGCTGAGGGGTTTGCTCCAATTATTCATAAAGATGGAGATGTCATGTAGCTGGAATATCTGCGACTGTGACAAACAAACAACAGTTTCTCAACTGTAGACAAGGGGGAGGTAATTTGCAACATTTGGTGGATGAGTAAGCTCCCTTTGGTCTGTTGTCCTGAGGAGGATATTTGAAGTTTTTGTCTTGACCCTGACCATTATTTTTTATTTGTTGCATCACAGATTGTCAAAGTCAGACGTCTGAGTTGGGAACAGCCAGGATCAGCTGCACATTGGAAGCCCGCCCCATACCCCAGACCTTGTGGTAGACTGTTTATCCAGGAAGAACAAGATTATCTCACTCTCTCACTCTCTCACTCTCTCACTCACTCACTCACTCACTCTTCTGTGATCAGAGATACATCATGTCATGGGTAGATATAGATTACAGGTTGTCTTAAGGGTGGTTTGTACTGTTTCTGGTTAAAGTCATTCTCTGGACATGGATCAAGTGGTCAAATAGACTGTTTTTTAGTGATGTGAGGTGAAAGGGGGTGCAAGATTATTGCACTTATATAGCAACATGCATGGATGTTTGTTTGTGGCTACTTGTACTAGACTGAACTTATGCCACTGAGATACCATTTCACACTTTAACATGAACATGCAACTCAGACACAGCATACTGACTCCAAGAGGACCAGTCCTTGTTTTAGCCCCTTATTGCCAAGCACCAGGCAGGGTAACAATAAGTACGATTCTTTAATGTCCTTGGTATGACACAGTTACATATCAAATCCCCGGCCTTTCGCCCTTCGGGCAGACGCTCTATCCACCAAACCACGGAGGCAGTTCTGTTGTTTAGTGGTCAGATACATCATAGCATGAGTAGATTTAGATTACAGGGTGTCTTCAGGGTGGTTTGTGGTGTTTATAGTTAAAGTCATTCTCTGGACATGGATCAAGTGGTCAAATAGACTCTGTTCTGTGATCAGACACATCGTAGCATGGGTAGATATAGATTACAGGTTGTCTTAAGGGTGGTTTGTGGTGTTTATAGTTAAAGTCATTCTCTGGACATGGATCAAGTGGTCAAATAGACTCTGTTCTGTGATCAGACACATCGTAGCATGGGTAGATATAGATTACAGGTTGTCTTAAGGGTGGTTTGTGGTGTTTATAGTTAAAGTCAGTCTCTGGACATGGATAAAGTGGTCAAATAGACTCTGTTCTGTGATCAGGTACATCATAGCATGAGTAGACTTAGATTACAGGGTGTCTTAAGGGTGGTTTGTGGTGTTTATAGTTAAAGTCATATAGTTTCGCCCTTCGGGCAGACGCTCTATCAACCAGACCATGGAGGCGGTTCTGTTGTTTAGTGGTCAGATACATCATAGCATGAGTAGATTTAGATTACAGGGTGTCTTAAGGGTGGTTTGTGGTGTTTATAGTTAAAGTCATATAGTTTCACCCTTCGGGCAGACGCTCTATCAACCAGACCATGGAGGCGGTTCTGTTGTTTAGTGGTCAGATACATCACAGCATGAGTAGATTTAGATTACAGGGTGTCTTAACTCTTTCAACACTGTAGGCCAGTAGACCAGCCAAGATGTCATGACTCCCCAGTCGCCATACGGTGGTCTACCGGCCAGCGTGTATACAAGTAAACAACATACTCGCGTGAACAAGTCATGTGACTACCGGAAACAAGAGTTGATGTATTATGGGGTGTTTATTTAGAAAGTTCTTTAGATAGCTGAATTTTCTGAACGTAAACTTGTGTTGTGATTTGACTTTGAACATACATGTGTAATGGCTGCAAGTCATTATTCATATAGCGATGAGATGTCAGACAATGATTTTAATGAATATGTTGTTGGTTTTGATTTGCTTGAACTAAATCCTGAGGGCGAACGGGAAATTCGCAAACTGTTTCACGACGATGACGACAATGGTTTCGAAGGCTGCATGGAATATTTTCCTCCGGGATTTTCTGTATGAGTTTGGAACAAGGACTAAGATTGTGGGCGTGACCGCGAGGAATTTGTGAGTGAACCTGGATTGTCTGGTCCAGACTCGATTATTTACAGACCGCCGTCATATAGCTGGAATATTGCTGAGTGCAGCGTTAAACACCAAACAAACAAAATAAATATATGTATGTGTGTTGGTTGATGCATGTCATCGTATTCTAAATGCTTCGATCAATGCTCTTGATGTCAATCACTGGACCGTCTGGTCGATGATTTACAGATCACTGTCATATAGCTGGAATATTGCTGTTTGTAGCATCAACAAATGAACAAACAATCCAAACAGTTCAACTCAACCTGATCTCAAATACAAAATCGTAGAACCAAACAAGTCATCAAACTGTTATTATTATTTTTATTAATTTTCATGTTAGGTGAAGAATAGTCAAAGGGAGATAATCCACTCATTCAACACCTGTCAGTCCACCTCCTACTGTCACCTGTGCCATCTGGTGTTTGAAAACATATTAGTTCGCTGTCTGTGTATGATATTGGAAAGTAAAGTGATTTGTTTCAGCCTTTTGTATTTTTTCCTCTCTTTTTTTTCACTTGTCTCGCTAACCAAAGTTAACGAGATGATATTTTTGGGGTGTTGCTGCTGCAAAATATGAACTTTTATTATTCTAGGATCAAATATAACATTCATATAACTCAAAAGCATTCATATTTCAACTATTCAACAAGAAAAACTGTTAAAATCCTTTGTTATATTTAAGAATTGACCTTCACTTTGTGTGAGTTCATTGGAGTATGAACCTTCATAGAGTGAGGGCCAAACTGTATGAACGTCGGAGCTTGCGACGACGTTCATACAATGTTTGGCCCTCACTCTATGAAGGTTCATACTCCAATGAACTCACACAAAGTGAAGGTCAATTCTTATAATTTTTTTATCACTATTTCTTACCTCAAAAGATGTAGGCCTAGATCTAAACACAATTTTATTTAGTACGTTTGACTTCATGTTTACACTGACAGCCATACAACAACCAGCTATATCGCGGAGTAAAATAGTTCTCAAAAAGAGAGGTGACATGGGCGTATGGATGCACAACTTGCTCTCCATAAACATCTTACGCAGCACATGTGTCCAAATCATATCCTCATTAGATGAGAAAGGTCTGTAAAGAACTACCTCAGTAAGTCAGTCACAATGACAGCGCGTCGTAATACATTTACATCAAGTACAAGACGTCAAAATGGCCGACACGATAAACGTGACGGGAGAGATTTCCGAAGTTGTTGATGAACCTTTGGCGGTTACATGTGTTAGTCATCATTAATCAACTGGCCGATCATTGAAAGGTGAATAAAGATGCGTCAAACAGACACAAAGGTAAATTCATAGATTGCTGGAGACGGTCAATGTCAGCCTAGGCACGGATCGAGTCGATACTACGATCGTTTAGATGTGCATTTCTTCGTTTGTTCATTAGGATGGGCGGTAGCGAGGATATTCGTGAACAATCATGCAGTCACGTTCTCTGACATTTCTCAAAGTATACTGAAACGCTGAGACCAAGAATAAAGGTTCTAAATGATCAGAAAGAACGCTTATGCATGTTTTCGTGGTAGGGAATTCCCAGGGGTTTCCCCAGGAATGTGGAAGTAGTCCGTCAGTGTTTACGTCATTTCAAGAACACGGTCTCGTGAAAAACGTATGAACGTCAAATTGTGTCGTTCATACACTTATGAACGTCAATTTCGCGGTCATGTGACCGACCTCTCGTCCAATGGAAAAGCCGTATATCGTGTAAACTTCAAATCTAAAAATTATTTTCAGATGAAGAACACTGCCACATCCAAGGGAGATAATCCACTTTCAACGCACCTGCCAATCAAGCAACTTCAGTAACCTATGCTGTCTAGTGATGTAAATATAATTAGATCCTATTGTCTCTAATTTGTTTCAACCTTTTGTGTTATTTCTCACATTTACTTACCTTGGCTAACCAGTTTACCTGGCCTAACGAGTGTACCTCAAGTAGGCAGCAGCAGCAGCAGCCATTACACACCTGTTCTGTTGTTCCATTAACAAGTTAAATAGAAGTCATGTTACCGAAATCAAACATGTATTATTTGACAAATATTTAATTTATTGTTTCAGGTCCATGTCGATTCTCACCTGTGCAACGCCTGGGTCACCTACTTTCCTCCATCTTCCTGAGGCAAGGGAATTAACTGACTATTAAAGTCCTGTTTCCACCCTTACCGAACTACGCTGGAATTTCATGGCTCGATCCTAGCGCCACCAGTGGCAGTTCCGTGTTATGGCCCTTCTACGTCCCTCCAACTGACCGGTCAGTTTCCTCCCTTACCGAACTACGCTGGAATTTCATGGCTCGATCCTAGCGCCACCAGTGGCAGTTCCGTGTTATGGCCCTTCTACGTCCCTCCAACTGACCGGTCAGTTTCCACCCTTACCGAACTACGCTGGAATTTCATGGCTCAATCCTAGCGCCACCAGTGGCAGTTCCGTGTTATGGCCCTTCTACGTCCCTCCAACTGACCGGTCAGTTTCCACCCTTACCGAACTACACTGGAATTTCATGGCTCGATCCTAGCGCCATCAGTGGCAATCACAGGTTATGGCCCTTCTACGTCCCTCCAACTGACTGGTCAGTTTCCACCCTTACCGAACTACGCTAGAATTTCATGGCTCGATCCTAGCGCCACCAGTGGCAGTTCCGTGTTATGGCCCTTCTACGTCCCTCCAACTGACTGGTCAGTTTCCACCCTTACCGAACTACGCTAGAATTTCATGGCTCGATCCTAGCGCCACCAGTGGCAGTTCCGTGTTATGGCCCTTCTACGTCCCTCCAACTGACTGGTCAGTTTCCACCCTTACCGAACTACGCTAGAATTTCATGGCTCGATCCTAGCGCCACCAGTGGCAGTTCCGTGTTATGGCCCTTCTACGTCCCTCCAACTGACCGGTCAGTTTCCACCTCCCTCTCGTATCACTTCCATTTGCTTCAAACAATATGGCGGCGCATAGTCAAGATGATCTGATCTATAATCAAGACCTATATTGTAATAAAATGGGTCTTACGCCCAGTTGACAGTACACATGCTCTGGAAATCCTGCAGTCGAACGAAAGCTGCACGATGGAATCCATGTTGTTTATGAACCGGATGTCTAGTTTCTTACGTGATTTTCATTGGACTATGTAAAGACTCATTAGTCCAGCCACAACTCCAGACTTCGAGCCTAGTTATGCAAGGGTGGAAACTGGACTTTTAAAGTCAGATAACTCTCTTGCCTCGGGAAGATGACTTTCCTCCTGCTGCCCGAAGGTCAGAAGACACTATTTATTCACTGTTATCACATTTTCTGTTACAGTCAATCTATTTATAGCTTCCTAATCTGTTACGTTGTCTGTTTTTTACTGATTGTTCATCTGTGATTTCCTTTAATTAAAGAATGGTAGAAATTAAAACATTTTTTCATGAATTTTCAAGTACTACACAATCTGGGCATTGCAGTGATAGGTAGCTTGTTGGTATTGCCACAAACATCCCGAAGTTGTATCCCGAGGTAATGACCGGCGCAATGCATTTTCGCAAATTTTGAAAGTTACTTTCATTGTGACTAAGTTTGAAGTTTTTATCTAAATACTTACTGTGCTACAACAATTTTTGCTGTTCCCACTTGCAAACAAATGACTACTTTCTGCGTTTTGTGTGATGCCCCATTTACATTTTGCATCATCATCACAAGTCTTTGAGAGAGATTTCTTCAGCCTTGGCAGGTCACATGCATGACCTGATAGGCAGCTGAAAACTCTTGGTGCACAGTCTGAAGAAAATGTATTTGCCAAATTTTGTTTACCTTGTTTGGTTCTAGCTATCCACAACAAATTAAGAATTTTTAATAAAATTTCTGTTGCTGGCCTGTATCAAGGCTGGCCTGTTCGATGCCATGTATCAAGAAATGTTTGTGGGCAAACATCCATTTCACCTGCTTCATAAATTTCAGTGTGAGCTAGGTTTTGTGTTTAAAGCCAAAATTTGGTGGTCACAAGTCTGGATCTCAGTGACTGCCTCCGTGGTCTAGTGGTAGAGCGTCCGCCCGGAGAGCGAAAGGTCCGGGGTTCAATCCCTGGCCACGTTATACCAAAAGATGTTAAAAGATGGTACTTGTTGTTACCCTGTCTGGCGCTCGGTGCTAAAACAAGGACTGGTTCGCTCGGAGTCAGTATACTGTGTCTGAGTGGGGTATTCATGCTAAACTGCGGCATGGTATCTCAGTGAGCTAGCACTATAAATCGGCATCGGTCGGACGAGTACAAGCAGCCACACACAACCACACACACATGTGCATGCACGCCGCTATATAAGTGCAATAATCTTGGACTCAACGTTAAACCTCATTTCACCTCACCTGGATCTCAGTGGGCATGTAGGTTCCTTGAGTGGCTGGCTGAAAAGGGGTTTTCCCAACACTTGAACACACTGATTGCTGTACATTGCATCAGGTGATCAGCTTAAGTTACCGTTACATAAATTTGGTCCACTGTATTTAGTTATTTCCCTTATTTCCACCCACCTGGCTCTCATGTCCTTTGTGTTCTGAGATTTTATATCATCACTAACTCTGTTGGTAGCTTTCTGCATGCCTGAACGTGAATGTGGAGGTATATCTGTGCTCATGCACTGGACGTGGAAGCTCTCACTTCCAATATGACATTTTCAGGGTCTATCTGTAGTCCAGTATTGGCAGTGGAAGATGGACGTCCCCTTCTCACCTCACCACCCGTATTGGCAGTGGAAGATGGACGTCCCCTTCCCACCTCACCACCTGTATTGGCAGTGGAAGATGGACGTCCCCTTTTCACCTCACCACCCCTATTGGCAGTGGAAGATGGACGTCCCCTTCCCACCTCACCACCGGTATTGGCAGTGGAAGATGGACGTCCCCTTCCCACCTCACCACCGGTATTGGCAGTGGAAGATGGACGTCCCCTTCTCACCTCACCACCCGTATTGGCAGTGGAAGATGGACGTCCCCTTCTCACCTCACCACCCGTATTGGCAGTGGAAGATGGACGTCCCCTTCTCACCTCACCACCCGTATTGGCAGTGGAAGATGGACGTCCCCTTCTCACCTCACCACCCGTATTGGCAGTGGAAGATGGACGTCCCATTCTCACCTCACCACCCGTATTGGCAGTGGAAGATGGACGTCCCCTTCTCACCTCACCACCCATATTGGCAGTGGAAGATGGACGTCCCCTTCTCACCTCACCACCCGTATTGGCAGTGGAAGATGGACGTTCCCTTCTCACTTCACCACCCGTATTGGCAGTGGAAGATGGACGTCCCCTTCTCACCTCACCACCCGTATTGGCAGTGGAAGATGGACGTCCCCTTCTCACCTCACCACCCGTATTGGCAGTGGAAGATGGACATCCCCTTCTCACCTCACCACCCGTATTGGCAGTGGAAGATGGACGTCCCCTTCCCATCTCACCACCCGTATTGGCAGTGGAAGATGGACGTCCCCTTCTCACCTCACCACCCGTATTGGCAGTGGAAGATGGACATCCCCTTCTCACCTCACCACCCGTATTGGCAGTGGAAGATGGACGTCCCCTTCTCACCTCACCACCAGTATTGGCAGTGGAAGATGGACATCCCCTTCTCACCTCACCACCCGTATTGGCAGTGGAAGATGGACGTCCCCTTCCCACCTCACCACCCGTATTGGCAGTGGAAGATGGACGTCCCCTTCTCACCTCACCACCCGTATTGGCAGTGGAAGATGGACTACTACCTCCTTGTACAGTTTAGGTACTTCGACAGGTGCCGTCAGTACATTAAACTCTCTCTGTTCAGTTAAAGCCCCACGGCTGTTCTTATCTCTATCCATGACAAGGTCACCGCCACACATTGGCAAAGTCTTGGCATGCTCACGGAAAGCCCATCTCCCCGACATGCAGCACTGATAAACACCAAAAGCAGCCCTGCAGATTAAAAAAGACCATTGACTACTTTGGAAACTTCTAAATGAATCTTTTTAAGCATGTGATAGTCTTCGACATTTCTGAATTATCTCCCCTAGCAGATCAAATGCTGTTTCTATTTCTATCCCCCTAAAGCCCTTAATAAAGGTGTAAAACATTGTTTTCTTATGGTATTGAAAAAAACACTTCTATGTATGTGAATTTAATCCCTTACTGTACCTAACAACTGAAAACTGTCAATAAAATTGAAAGTTTATGAAGTGGCCTCATTAAAAGACAAATGCTTGAATTTGGAAAGGTTAGCCACCAAAATCATTTAACATTGAGCACTTTTATTCCCTGCAAGTATTTCAGAGTCTGGCCAAAGGAATAAATAGATTCAAGTGTTATTACCTTTTACCTTTTGGTTTCAGGGAACTCTCATCCTCCTTAGGGGTGTTTCCTTCCTTAACAGAATACAGCTCACTTGTCAGTGTTTGAACTCGCTGGACACCAGCCACTACAGCTCACTTGTCAGTGTTTGAACTCGCTGGACACCAGCCACTACAGCTCACTTGTCAGTGTTTGAACTCACTGGACACCAGCCACTACAGCTCACTTGTCAGTGTTTGAACTCGCTGGACACCAGCCACTACAGCTCACTTGTCAGTGTTTGAACTCGCTGGACACCAGCCACTACAGCTCACTTGTCAGTGTTTGAACTCGCTGGACACCAGCCACTACAGCTCACTTGTCAGTGTTTGAACTCGCTGGACACCAGCCACTACAGCTCACTTGTCAGTGTTTGAACTCGCTGGACACCAGCCACTACAGATCACTTGTCAGTGTTTGAACTCGCTGGACACCAGCCACTACAGCTCACTTGTCAGTGTTTGAACTCGCTGGACACCAGCTACTACAGCTCACTTGTCAGTGTTTGAACTCGCTGGACACCAGCCACTACAGCTCACTTGTCAGTGTTTGAACTCGCTGGACACCAGCCACTACAGCTCACTTGTCAGTGTTTGAACTCGCTGGACACCAGCCACTACAGATCACTTGTCAGTGTTTGAACTCGCTGGACACCAGCCACTACAGCTCACTTGTCAGTGTTTGAACTCGCTGGACACCAGCCACTACAGCTCACTTGTCAGTGTTTGAACTCGCTGGACACCAGCCACTACAGATCACTTGTCAGTGTTTGAACTCGCTGGACACCAGCCACTACAGGTCACTTGTCAGTGTTTGAACTCGCTGGACACCAGCTACTACAGCTCACTTGTCAGTGTTTGAACTCGCTGGACACCAGCCACTACAGCTCACTTGTCAGTGTTTGAACTCGCTGGACACCAGCCACTACAGCTCACTTGTCAGTGTTTGAACTCGCTGGACACCAGCCACTACAGCTCACTTGTCAGTGTTTGAACTCGCTGGACACCAGCCACTACAGATCACTTGTCAGTGTTTGAACTCGCTGGACACCAGCCACCCCTACACTGCACACTTTCTTGTGGAGCTCAGTTGTCGACCTAACAGTTTTTGGCACTTTAAAGTTGCTTTGCTTTTCTTTGGGGACTTTTTTGCCTGAATTCCAAGCATTTATGTGGTGCTTTAAAAGATGTTTTCAAATTCTTTCGATGTCTCCCCATGTTTCCGGTGTAGGTCCAAGATGCTGACAC